AAAATCACCAAAAGTCAACCACCAGTCCTACAACGCCAAAACGTAAATACGACCCCCCCCCCCAAAAATGACCAAGTACGACCCCCCCCCTTTACAACGTCCGTGAAGCGAGAAAAATCAACTATCAAAATAAATTTTTCCCAGCCCAAATACGACCCCCCTCTCCTGGCGGCCAAATACGACCCCCCCCCCCTAATGGGGGATTCCCCAACAACGATGTGCCCTGGTTATCATACATGATCCACTTCTCATCACAGGTGACAATTTGGCCCAAAAACGGGTCGTTTCTGCTGTGAAGAAGAAACCTCGAGACGTGCCAATTTCTGCCGGTCACTCAAATTGTGGGGCACCCAATTGTCGAGTTTTTTCACCTTCCCAATGCAATTCGGACCATTGGATTTGCCAACGCCTAGCTTTTCTGCAATCTCTCGAACTGTTTGGGATGGGTCAGCCTCCACAAACGCCTTCAAATCCTCGTCAGGTATTGCTTTAGGTCGACCGCTACGAGGTTCATCTTCAAGGCTGAAATCTCCAGAACGAAATTTGTCGAACCATCGCACGGTGCTTTCTCCAACACTATTGGGCCCCCACACCTGGTTAATTTGTCGAGCTGTCTCGACTGCGGATTGACCCAATTTGTAGTTGAAGAAAAATATCGTCCGAAGTTGCTCTTTTGACATGCTTCAAAAAGTCTTGGGAAAAGGGGTTTATCAAGCAATGGTGAAACGGCAATTATACCATCAGATAGCGCAAAAATTCTCTTCAGGATGTACTACTGAGACGCAAGGGAGAATGAGTTTTTAATCAGCAATGAATGTACAAAAAATAGTAACACAAAACGCTGAGAACTTTCCGGACAACCTAATACAAGAAATCAGCTGGGTACAACGACGACAAAGACCGTATCAATCACGACACAGCTGTCAACTGTCCCGTGATGGTCCACTCACACCCTCTCTTTCATTGCCCGAAGGGATATCATCTAACGCATTTCCGACGGATTTTTGCTTTCATTCTTTACTGATAAGTTTTTAGCAGCTTAACCTCGTGATTTGAGGCCCACTCACGATTTGTGATCACAGGCTCTTCGCTGGAATGTATCACCTCTGAATTCAGAGAGGTCAGACAGGAACCTTGACTTAAAAACACTTACCCCGAAATTGCGTGAGTGGAGGCCCAGGCTAGCGTGGTGCATAAGAAGAATTGGAAATCGGTCGTAGTAAGAGGAGCCAACGTAAAGTAGATAACGAGAAGCACCAGGAGAAGCGCCTGAGCAGGCAATAGACTGAAAATAGCGGATATGCAGAAACTCCTCTACATATAATAGTTTCTAACTGGTTCCCATTTTATCCGCACCTTCGTTCTGGAACTGTAATGGAATCCGTTTTATGTTCACAGAAAGTTGATATTCCTTAGCACCACAGGGTAAATTAGATGGGACATACTCATGATTCGAAGACACTTTCCACGAGTAGCTGAGACGTGTACCCTTCCTGTGCACATAGTGAGCAGGTTTGATTGTTTGTGTGTGCCATCCTCGCCTCTCAGACGCTATTCAGATGTACAGCAGGGGACATAGGACATATTTGGAAACTTCTTTATTCTCCACTGCGGACAGTGAGGAGAAAATCACTGGTATGTATATTGCAAAATTTTGTTGGAAAATCAACATGGATAGCTTTTCTCCGAGAATCAAAAATGTCACCAAAAGGATACGAGCTTTCTGTGACGTTTGCAACTTCTTTTATTGAACTGAATTATTACAGCCACACTCCAGACATTTTTTCATGGTTCTGAACCGACTCCAACATCAACTATCACAAGATTCCTGACTTATGGGCGAAAGTCTTGATCCCGGGGGCGAAGTGATTTAGCCTTTGTGGCGTTCAGTCCCCCCCCTGATCGAGACATTTGCCCATAACTTTTGCATTCTTAAGACAACTTTGAAAGAGCGAACTTTGGCGGTAATAACAGCTATCTTGATGAAACAACTTCCAGCACTGATTTTAGGTGAACTATTCTGAACAACAGGCACTGCGGTAAAGGGCATTGAAACAAATCCTGATTTTGACAAGAGGAATCTGAATGTACCGTAGAGATTTTTCACCAACTCACTTGCATGAAAAACCTGAACTCTCTCATGTTCCGTGTAGCGGCTTCTCTTTGCCCTCCATTCATGCGCGAAATACTCTTCTGTACAAAAACATTTCACTAAGTGTTATAAGAGGAATCTGAAAGATACTACCTGGTTTGTCAACCTCAACTGTACGATAACAATACTATCAATCACTGCGACCGCTACTGCTACACAGCTGCCATACTGAACGTTGACATAATGCTGTAGGAACTGGGCGCACGGCTCACTACCATATGCCCAGTACGTGTGATCATGACTGTAGAAGTAGTCGCATCCATCTGGAAGTCCATGCCGAGAAGGGATTGGGAAACTTCGAAGAAAATCATTACTTATTAGAGTTACGCTCCAGTTGACTACAAATGTAGCAGCGATCACTGCCATGAGACCGTATGTCGTGCGAAGAGTGAAAAACGTGCGATATTGTATCGGGAACGAGATTGCCACGAATCTGTACGTAAGAACAATTTATTGATTGTGGTTTCGAGAAAGCAGCCACTCAAAGGAACGGTCCGTGATCGGGTATAGAAGTTGAAAATATGGAGCCGGGAGGGGGAGTTACTGCTATATTCCGCTACAGTGCCCCTCCTTTGAAGGTTTTTGCCGCAAAACCGTTACAGGGATGTTCGGTACGAACTTCCAAAGATTCCGCCTCCAGACCCCGCCTTCAGAGCCAGCCCTTCAGTGAAAAACGAAACTGCAGGTGTCACTAGTACGTTCGTAGAGTTCTTATCGGGGGATCAGCTGTGCGGATGAGGGCGTACTGCAGGAGATGGAGTCAACTGGTCACGTACAAACTGGGACCGAGACGGGGTCCTATCTAAAAGGGTTGGCATGTTTTTTTTCTGTTTTTCCTCACCATCGAGTTACCTGGAACCTTGTCGTCTATATGCACACCCTTATCATCCCAGAGATAAAGAGAAATTCACCTATTAATAGAGATGATTAAACTGGAATGGATCGTTGCCGCGTAAAAACCCAACGTCCATTGTCCCATCCTCAGATTCAAATAGTGCAAGTTGTCTGGTACATCCCTGAATGTTATAATATTTCAGTGAACTTAAGACATCGCTGACTACAAGGAATCTCCCTAGCTTTGTCCAGTGATGGATTGGGGGAGGTGGGCGTCAACGCATCTACACGAATAATCTAAGACGACTGTCAGATAGGAGCCTAATGTTCGTCTCAATGAGATTTCCTTTGACCAAATCCACGAACTTGCAATGCATGTCTGCATGCTGATGGCGCAAACGTGGTAATAGCTTGTACTTCTTCAAAGTACATAAGCGCGCTATGGAAATGACCAATACAACTTCTATCGAAACTAAGGACCTAATAAGGATCTCAACTTGGAGAACGGAGAAGGAGCAGTCATATTTTCTTGTTTCTGGAATCAGCTGATTGTTTTCTACTGATTTGGCTGAGTCTAATAGTTTTAATACGACATGTGCTTGCGCATGCATTACATTGAAAGAAATGGTGTGCGCTCAGTTTCTATGCAGCCGTATCCTCTTCAGCCTTTGGACATGATCTCTTGGCCAGAGAGTCTCATCTCTCAGAATTGCAAACGTTTCCTCATTCCTGCTATCGCTGAATGTTGTTCAACATTCGAAGATAACAAGAAGAAACAGCTTTCAAAGAATGATCCGCTATTTTGACGGGAACCGACTATGTGACCCACTATAATTTCCTGGTTCGGATTCTACAGTAGAGCATGTTCGAGCTGTGTTATATCTTACCAAATAGTCCACGGGACGGACCATAGAAGAAATACAATAAGAAGGGAGGCGCTTGAAAAAGCGTAGCAAGCAGAGAGACGGCCAAATGGGTTCCGAAACACCTTATGACGAACCATTATAAAAAAAGCAGCTAGATGGCATAGCGCTCCTATAGAACAGACCTGAAAATGTACGTACTGTAGGCAATATGGTAGATTGAAAATCGAATAATTGAATACTTATGCAAGCTTCATGAGGAATCCAGCATATTCCACGATGCTCATGGACGAGGTTCGTCGGGCAGTACCCTTCCCATCCCTCCTCATCAAGCTTGCTACCTTCCTCAACTGTCCCCAACCTTCGACCATTTCCAGTCATTTACCGCCTGAGAAATTCTCCTGTTTATCCAAAAAAACTGCCGTCGAGGGAGAGGGGCAAGTGTAGATGAAAACTGAAAGCCAAGGAAAGTCATCAGCCAGAAACATTTTTCAGTGAGGCCATTACGTCCCTACTCGCCAGTAACCAAATGCTACCCGTGGAAGGAGATTATTAACGTACGACGTGCCCGATGTGCTCGTGGTAGTTGTGAGCGCTACGATGCTCTACGAGGCGCTGCTTTGTCGACGGGAGGGGGGGGGGGGCATTTTGTATTATCATTGCTTCCCTAGTTCCGGTTTACAAATCTCACTCTGGTAAAACTTGTGAACTCTTGTGAAGCTGAAGTAAGATCGTCTAGCCACTATCCTAAAACGTGTCAACTCGAGAAACGGCTGCCTAGATGGGTCGACACATCTATGGAAAGCAAAATGCCCCCCCCGTCGACAAACTGCGCCGCTATACGATATTGAGTGTTGGCCGTATGTGCAGGAGTCACGACAGCTAGCCTCAGTTCGCAGAGATGAGGATGCGAAAATGAGCCTTTGGCTGGGCGCATCTCAGAGTCAGTAGGGGCAGAAACGGAGGTAGTTTCAGCTGCAATCGCTAGAGCAGCGATTGCCACGGTATAGACACGTTTTGAAAAGGCCTGAAGATCAAACGTCAGGGATGCGTTGGAGCTCGAATTACAATAGACGACCGCGAGAAGCCTCAGCCCAGCGTCAAAGAAAAGATGGACGGACTTCATTATCAAAGACTTCGCTAAAGTCGTGACCACGGCACGAGATGCCTCGTGCAGGAGAAGAGCGTCCGAAAAACAAGCGGATGATGCGACGCCTGGGATCATGTCAGGTAGATTAGAAGAAAAACTAGAGAAGAATGAAGAAACATAGCACTAAACAATATCGGGAAAGCACCGCCATCTTCTGGTTGAGAATTCTTCTAACCCAATAACTGCAATTGGGAAAGGCTTGTTAGAAGGAAAAACAAGCACTGCTATGGACCTACCGACAACAAGAGAACAGCTTCGATGATGCGCGTGTAAATACGCTCTTGTGTGGTACCATTATCCATCTCCTCTTCTCTTGAGCCAACAGATACCAATTAGATGAAGTTGAGTTTTAGAGAGTTTGAGACCAAGAGACGACCCTTGAATGAGAAAGTCGTTTTTGGAAAATGTGGAGCATATTACTAATGACGACGCCACAAATGATATCGTCGCAGTCAATCAAAGCGGAGTCCAGGGCACGGAATGTGGCCAACCGCGGCGTTTTGGACGACTGGGTGTTTATTTTAGAATCGACCGCCACCCAGTTCTTCCTATAATAATAGTAGTAATAATAATAGTAATAATAATAAGAATGATAATAATAATAATAATTATTATTATTACTATTATTATTATTATTATCGTCATTATTATTATTTATTATTTTACTGTCATTATTATTATTATTGTTATTATTAGTTATTACTATTATCACTATTATCATTATTATTATTATTCATTATTGTTATTATTATTATTATTAGTATTAGTATCGTTATTTTGTTACTATTACTGCTATTATTATTATTATTATTATTTTATTATTATTATGACTATACAGCATTTGTTCCACTTTGTAAACAAGTCCGCTTTTCTGACATGATGAGAACACTTCTCCCCATTAAATGCCGGCTGTTTTCGAGACTGTATGCAGCGTGTCAAGCCACCGCTGTTTGGAACGCCCTTTTTGTCGCTTTTCGAGCATGTTCATCTCCGTCACGTCGAGGTGAGCTTCAACTTCTCTGGTTGCGGTTCGGCGTTCTGCACCACACGACGCGACCGGCCACAATGGGTTTACAGAAGCGCTCTGGCGTTTTCTTGTCGCAAAGCGCACTCACTGACGCGCTCACTTCTGAGCTCTGACTGCAATCGGACGGAAGTGCCGATCCAAGATACTTGAATGCATTCTGTGCGATTGTCTTGGAAGGATTTCATGGTGTGCGATATATTACGTTGTATTCTTAAATGTAATGATGTGATAAGTGCGGTCGTGGGCCGGCCCGTCCCGAAAGCCTGTCACTTGCATTGTCCTTGCCTGTCAGCCGGTCACTTGTTAGTTGTTTGGCTTGTTCCGTAAAAGCGAGCAGTTCCTAGTGGCACCTCCCAGAGGATCGGACACTGATCACTAACCGATCACCTTTGGTAGAAAATGCAGCCGGGGCGGGTTCATTCTACATCTACTGACACCTCCTCCCCATCTTAATTGCAACGATATCAACTAAAGCAAATCCACCATCCGAGGATCCGGATAAACAGAGCTTTCCATTTTCCAGAGCCAATTATTTGGCACCGGATGGCCTGGAGGCAAAACACTGTATTGTTCATAAGTTGTAAATCAGATGCACAGTAAACAATGTACGAACTGATTTACATTCAAAACGCTCCTAATGGAAGTAGAACACAAGACGCGCTGTCGGGAATTTCGTCTTTCAGGCTTCATGGGAATCATGCCTATCAGACAATCAGAACTTCAGGAAACAACGTCAATTAGAAAACGTAACGAATTCGCAGGAGAGAGATACCATCGGGTCATCCTTGAGAGGCAGAGTCGGCTGAGGATCAGATTTGACAGATTTTGAAGGCAGAATGGAGGTCAGTGTAAGATAGGACGCTCGAGGATGTTTGTCTCATTACAAAAGGCCACTTGGAGTGGGGTTAGACATTCAAAAAGGCAACTTTAAGAGAGCCAAAGAAGAGCCAAGAGTTAAGAAAGCCACTGGCACTAGACACTCATGAAATTAATGCAGTAGACTCAAGCTGTAATGCGGACGTAGCTTTTGTGGGGACAACATATCTTCACCAAATCAAATATTTTTCAAAAACTTCTCTTTATGGGAGGACAGTCGATGTTGAAATAAGAAGACATCACCGTGAGTGTTGTTAGGCCACGCATGATGTGGCATTAGACAAACAGGCGTTCAGTTTAATTCGCGAGTAAATTGCTTGACGGATTTTGCAGCACACCCTCGGAAATAGCAAATTAAGAGTGGGAAGTCATTACAGCTATAATCATTATAGCTCAATGAGCGGGAGGAATAAATAAGCCAATGCGGTAAAGCTTTGGCCGGAATCCTGACGCGGAACTAGAACCGTTCACGGATTTTGGAACAGAACACAGTAGGGAGGTACTTCCGATGAACCAAATAGCGCCGCTACAGTAGCTCCGCCAGTTTTTATTAGTCCTGAATGACATCCAGCATCCACTTCCGAAAGGTTCGAGTGTGTGTGACTGCAAGCAAGGT